CAACTCAATTCCAAGCCGACTTTGGAGCCTGCGCCCCGTTTTCAAAAATGCCCACAGTATTTCAGAGCTTTGGTCCCACAAGGTTTAGGTCAGCCCCTGAGCACCCACTCGAAGGGCTCAGACCCCACGCTCCCAACTCACGTATCGCATTTAATTGTCACTCATTAACGACCGTACGAACACGGCGCCTACCGAGACGATGCCACACGCGGCGAGCGTCGCCGCCAGCACGCCTCCTGAGGGTTAACGTCGGACAGGGCGTCAGGGCATGATCTCCAAGAACCTCACTGAAGCCACACACCCTGTCAACACACGTATTTTCGGTTGCTATAGCAAAGCCAGCCGCAATTAAGAAGCGCTCTCAGGCTGCAGGGCCCTCTCCGTCCTCTGCGGCTTTGCAGCCTCGCTCCCTCCCCACCGAAACCAACCCCCGCCCTCGCTCCAGCCGCGCAACCGCGGGGCCAGCAGCCAGGCAGAGCCGCGGCAGGAGCAGGGACACGGATCCCGCCGCTGCCCCCACGCTCTACAAACAGGGAGAGAACCGAGATGAAAGGCACCGAGCCCCAGCGCCTGCTCACGCCCAGGCTCGCCGGCCGCTGCCTGACTTCTCCGCGGCAGCTCCGTATCAGCCTGGGCCCGGTGGCGAAGCACTCCCTTTCCCCGGCTAATGAAGGGGCTGGTCCTGTGGTCACGAGAGACAAGAAAACCTTCAGTGCGGGAGAAATCAAACAACGCAGTTTCCCGGTGTCACGTTGGGTCTGTTGCTGGTTTCCAACCGCTAAAGCGTGTTTCGAGGCGCAGATAATCGTGGCCAGATCACACAGAGAAAACAGATCTGGCTCCACCTAAGAGTTCAAAGACGCCTTCACAAAGCTGACAGAGGGAAAAAACACAGCGAAGGGGCACGTTAACAGCATTTCCCTTCCACCCCGGAGGCCCGAGCCACACATCCCAAGAACTTCCCGAGGCGCTTTGCCACTTCAGCGGGATAAACTGCAGCTCATGGCACGGCGGAGCCCATGAACGTTAAACAGATCCGAAGATCATATCCCGGTTGCTAAACCCCTTTGCTGGCCCTTGGGTCCCACAGAGGCAGCCTCGTGCCCTTTTGGTTTTCCGCAGCAGCTGGCGTCGGGGAGGACGGGCTCCGGCGCTTACCGCGTCCGTCACACTTCGTTGGGCTGCACAAATAACAGATCCTCCCCCCGGGAAGCCTTCGCACTGTGAGAAATGGATTTGCGTGAGAGGCTTATTTTAGAACACAGAGCAACTTGCCAAAGGAAGGAAGCGGAACCCCATCCCGTAGGTAATTTAACACTCGGCCAGAGCGAGCTCTGGAGATACGCCGCAGAAAGCGATGCTGTAGGACGGCCCGCGTGGGCCGTTTCCCCTCCAGTCACGGTGACGATCTCGTCGCTGGCAGGAGGTGAAATCCAACCCCAAGCACCTCGAAGCTGCAGACTTTGTGTCCGAGCAGCCACGACCACTGCATCCCGTCGGAGGGTCTGGAACAGCGTCAGCCTTTTGAGCGATTGAAACCTCGCTCCAGCCCAACTCGTGAAAGCGTCTGCATCTGGGTGCAAGGGAAAGGGAACAACGCAGCCGCAAACGGATGAAGGAGCCACGGCCCGTCGCTCTCAAGAGGGCGAAGGACGAGGCCAGGGCTGGGCTGATGTTCAGCCAGGGCAGCAGTTCGCTCATCTCCCGTGTGACAGCGCCCACGGCCGGTGCCGCGGCGCACACTGAATTGGGGCTCGGCTGAACACCTCCCCTGGCTCCTCTGGAGAGGGACTGGGAACGGGGAGCGAGGGGGGCCCTGGGGCTGCACACCCGGGAGCTGGGGAGCCCCTGGGCTGCCCCCGGGCGCTCCCGCTCGAAGCCACGGCGGAGCTGGGCGAGCAGCAGTGACACCTCCCCACGACTCTTCCCGAGCCAAGCCCTCGGCTGGCAAGAAAACACTTCTTGACTGGGGAAAAACGGGGCGGCAAAGCCCCTTGTGCTGCTGCCGGGGAGCGGAGCGGAGCCCTCCCGGCGTTCTTCGAAAGCACGAGAGAGAAGCCAGAGCAGGGAGCGGCTCTGGGGGCAGGGAGCAGGCGCTGGAATTTGGGCCTGACTCAGACAGACGCCCTCCGCTCCGGCTCCCGAGCCCCCCTCCGGGCAGCGAATCCTTCTTTACACGGAGGCAAACAGCACCAGGGGAGATTATGGGGAAAACGCTGCTCGTTCGCTGGAGAGGCGCTGGGCGGCAGGAGCCCGGGCCTGGCTCTCGTCTCACCCACGTGGGTGCCTCGTACGAGAGACGGGGCAAAGCGCCTCTCCGATTCCACCCCGATCCCACGTGCTGGCCCACAGGATGTTTTGTCCTCGCAGATAAATTTCCACTATGAATCAGTGCTCGGGGGGGTGGGGGGAAGCAGCCTGCTTTGTTGAGAAATTTCTGCTCTTAAACTGTTTCAGCGTGGCAACCAACAGCGGGCAGCCAGCACGAGGATAAGGAGCGGCCGCCCCCAACTGAAGGCAAACGGAGACGAGACCTGCGACTTCACGCCCGAGAACCGGGGATTTCTGCCGCCACCTGGATTGGCAAAAGGCTTTTACTTTAAATTCCCCTGAAGAAAATGTCAAGAATAATCCCCTTTTGCCTCAGTCTGACTGCATCATTCCCACAAAACGCGAACATTTTGCTCTAATTTTATATTATAGAATTTTCAAAACAAAACCTGGGACTTCCTGATACCGGTTGAATTTTCCCTTCCTGCCTTTTTCTCCCCCAAAACGCCAACAAGCCATTCCAATTTCATATAGTGCCTCACTTGGATTAGAATTGCGTTTCCCAAGGGCTTTTTCTGGGCTGTCAGTTTTATGGATCAACTTCAGACATTTGCTTTTTCTTTTTGATCAACTCTGGGCTCTTCCTCCCAGTTCCCAAGCCTTGAAGTCCCTCCTGTTATTTTCAAGCGTTTCTCCGTAGCCAGGAAGGACAGAAAATTCCCCCTGCATCCCCGGAAAGCCAAGCCAGGCGTGCTGTTCCTTCGCCCCAGCACTCACATGCCTTAAGAAGCACAGAGGGACCGTGAGGTTTCCAGCAGAACCGCTTGAGCTGGCAACGCTGCTTCCGCCGCGGGCTGCGCGCCGGCAGGGGCTGGAGGCAGTCGCCGCGAGAGCCCTCGGGCCAGCCCGTGACTCGCTGCCGCTGGGATCTGCGGTCCTGGCCCAGAACTGGAGCCGCCTTTGGGAGAAGGGGCAGCGAGAGGTGGGAGATGATTTTTGGAGGGGAGGTCCCCCCACGGCCTTACGTTTGTATGAGCTCGGAAATGAGGACGCAGGGATTGATGCCGGTCGCAGAAAGGTCCTTCCCTTCCCGTTCCCGTCAGCTGGTGACCATCCAGGTGTCCAACCCCCTCACAGGGGCAGCAGAGACCGGACAGCGTCTCCCGAGGGTTGTCAGTGCCAGCCAATCCCAAGGGAAGGGATGAGGCAGCCCCTGCAGGTGACCATCCCTCCCCAGCGACCAGAGAACTGGCTTAACCCGAGCACGCCTGGGTCTTGCTCAGGCTGAAGTCGGGCAAGGTGAAACGCAGCCATCAGGCTGGCTGGATTTGGCACCTAGTGACCTCCTGAAGGTTTATACTGACCTGTGAGATTTGAGACGGGGCAGGACCCAGATACGGCTCAAAACTAGCACTGCCTTCAGCCCAGGGCTGGGGGCAACCCTGGTCCTAGGGAGGAGTCACGGCGGGGGTGCGTGAAGGGAGGAGTCACGGCAGGGGTGCGTGAGGACACGCACCTGCAGACTTCCCTCCCGACTCACCTCAGCCAAGGCATTCCCCGGGAAGCGACAAGGTGAGCAGGGACCACTTGTCACTTCTCACAGCAGCTGGAGGGACCCCGACAGCTGCCCTGGGAGCTGCCGAAAGCTCTAGGAAACTCCTCCTGGTGGTTAGAACAGCCCAGAAACACACACAGACCGTGGCCGAACAAGCCTGCTGGACCTGGCCTTGCACGTGCTGCTCGGTAAGCGACGGCGCTCGACTTGCAGGCCAAGCGCAAGGAAAATACTGAGGCCCAGACACGAGAACACACCGAGGGGTCAAGCGCCGAGCCTCTGAAACAGGCACGAAATCCCTCCCGAGCCACCGGTATCCGTTATTTTGGTGGTATTGCACACACGGACCGTTTACTGCTTTGCAACAGACCCTCTGGCTCACCTGTGAGAGGAACCTTCTCAGCGGCACCTCTGACCGCTGGTCATCAAGAAGGATTTTCACCACTCAGCAGGAGCTGGGAGTGGATTTGGGATCCCACAGTCTCCTTGTTTCGCTGCTCTCTGCAGCCCCACGTTTGCCGTGGGCCATGCTGTACCCCGGGACACTCCTTCAAGCCAGAGAACGCCAGGAATTAGGTGAACAGAGCAGAGGGCTTTTGTCAGGGGAGGAGAAGGGCCTGGGGGGGGGCAAAATTACACTCAGCACGTTTAAAACCACCTCGCCTATTTCCAGCGATGCCACTGCAGTCTGCGGAGAGCGAGGAGGGCTTCCAGGGGGCAAGTCAGCTCCCCCCAACACGCCTGCCTCCCCGCTCGCCCTCAGCGCGCCCACAGTCCCAGGCAGGGAGACTGGGAAGGACACGAGTGACTGAGCACAGCACCAGGCTCTTCACACACAGGTCTGCCTGCCCGGCCCTTTTCTTCTGGTGACGCCCAGGGTATTTCTAAGACCCCACCGAGAGCCCGAATTCCTAAAGCACCTAGAGGTGTGCAGGCAGAGGGAGACCCGGCTGGCACGGAACAGCTTGACAGCTCCTGACAAATAAACACCAAGGCTGAAATAATAGTTTTAAAAAAATATTTCATTTCATTTTTCTTTAAGAAGAAAGTACACAGGGGTTTCCCCTTCCGACAACAGCCAGAAGCCCAGAACTTTCCAATGACAAGGCAGTTTTATTTCCATAATTGCCTAAAGCAATAATAAACCTAAGCCACGCAACACCCGAGCGATCAGTCATGACAGACAGGGGAAAATTTTGATGGTGTTTATCCGAAGGACAGTCTGTGGGTTGATGATGACTGAAAGAGAATGAAAAGAGAGAGAAAAAAAAAAAAAAAGATCAGCTGACGGCCCAGAACTGCCGC